TTTTGCTGTTAATGAAAGCCGGCTGCCGGTGAAGTGGTAGAATTCAGCAGCACCTGCTATCTGACGGAGAAGGTGGGGGGATTCAAATGTATCAACTGGGCTTGTTGTAGAGCATTTTAGTGCTCGTAATAACAACGCGTTGTGTTGTTTCTGTCTTTGGACGTTTGCTCACACTCTTTCCTTCTTTATCCTGTTCGAGGTTTCTTCTCCATTCGACAGCTTGCACGTCTTGGGAGCAACAAGTTCTTTCTCACTCATCATGTTTTGCAGATCTCCAAAGTAAAATGTTGGAGTCCGAGATGCTTCACAACTCATTTATGGTTCATAAGAATCTCTTTATGGATCCATTCATAACTATTTTTCATTTTGTTTTAATAGTGAAATAAAGTACCTTAAAGTCCACTTCTTTATTAGTTAATAAATGCTGTGCTGCCTTGTATTAGGGATATAAAATATTTTGTGTCTCATGCCCCTTTACCCACCAATTAAAATGGTGTTTCCTTTACTCAGTAAAGGAACTATTTTTTTTTTTTTGATTCATGCCTAACCCACCTACAAAAAGCTTAGGGTCAGTTTTAGTATCACAAACAGGTTTATAAGGTCTCGTGGCTTTTTGCCTCCAGTTGGCCCGTAATGGCCCAACATTTATTCTGAGATGTGACGCACATTTGCGGGAGATTCTTCGTGTGCCCAGCCACATGTGCACCACTAAGTCAGGGGACACAAGCTGTATGTAACTGCAGACAATCCCAGACATGTCCATGGAGCAAACATTAACATGACACGAGGACACGTGTCTTCTCTCGGTCCCCGCCATCAATCTCGGACACCTGCGCTCCCAGAACCTGATTCCAACCCGAACCCACACCCAACACCTAAACTCCCAGGCAGCACCGAAGATCCAGCCAAAAATGATGACCTGGCAAAAGGATCTTCATTTTGCAAATACGTCCTCAGTCCCCAGATGTAACGCATGTGTAAACGCATGCTTGTGCTGTGTGTGTGTGTGTGTGTGTGTGTCTGTGTGTGTGCGTACACTGAGTACTCTTTGTTAGTGTTTATGTGCTCCATAAAGGACAGCGCATTCTTCTCTGAGGAGCTGCCCTGCTTTCAAAAGACTAAAATAAATCCTCTAACTCAGTCTCATTATGTTTGACTCAGCCACGAAAGTCAGTGTATAAATGATACGTCATCAGAATATCATTTGTTTAGTAAAGGTTTAATTACAATTAAGTATAATCAACGTTTGGCCATTAACCTGATGGTCGGACTGTTTACTGTCGTACGGAATTATGATTTATTTTTGAATGATCATATTAATCATATTAACCATTTCTGTTCAGCATAAAGTGTCCTTAAATCATCCAGGCTGTACATGCAGAAATGTTAAACTCCTCCTGTTGTCCTCGTGCACTTTGCTCCCAGCCAACAATGTCCCACATTTAGCGGGACATTGTCTCTATGAGACAATAATCTCATAGATTACGACGTTCATTTTGACAGCCTTGTGCTTACTTGTTGACTCGCATTCGTTTCATTTAATACGAATGAAACAAGTGGTGAGATGATGAGGCGTTTATATTCCATTCATTTAAAAAGAGTCAAAGCTGTTCAGCGCTGTTCTCTTTATCCAGCTTCAGTGTTTCATAAATAACTGCTCTCCTGGCAGACAGAAGGTGGCTCAGGAACTTCTCTCTACTGAGAAGACCAACTTCCACCTTCAGGCTGGAAGTCTCATCCACTTATGTGCTTCAACCGTTTGTGGAGGAAGGTTTTATTTAACCTGACATTTAAAAAGGTTTGACAGAAGCTGATTTAAAACGTGGACTGAGAAAGTGAGGCAGAGGAGGAGAGGGAGGCAGGTCATGTGACCGCTCCATTAAATCTACTAAAACAGGAAATCCTTTCATCCTCATATATGAAAACATTATTCGTACCTTCAGTAATCGCAGTGTGTTTGACCCAGTACTTTTTGCCGTTGTGCCGATGGGACGAGGTGTGACTAGAAGCAGTGCTCACCGCGCCGCCTTACTGATGGCAAAGGGTTTGGGTCCGGAGGCGGGAGCTCGGAAAGCACCTCTTTCAAACGCAAATAGAATATAGCGAAATTACGACTTAAGTGTAACACCCTTAATAAACGTAATCATTCCACACAAGATTCTAAAAGCGGTTGGATGCTGGCACTTCGTCCAAGCTTTTATCAGATTCCCAGCATCCCACATTGAGAGTCCGTGGAAATGTCGTGCATTTGCTGTGTGACGTGATCTGATCTGCCTGGTAGATCGCGGCGTCCTTCTCCAGATCACGAGGGATAAAAGGTACGGTGAAGACAGAAGCAGAAGTTTAGAAGAGCAGCAGGAGCGTTGCCAAATACTTGAAACAAGGACATGATAATCACAGGAGGAAAAGAGGTAAAAGAGCGTTTGGCTGGAAGCTTTGAAATGGAAATGAAGTGTGGCGCGTTGCCGAACAGAAGATGTCTACTGCCACTAGACAGTAAGGAGACCTTCTTCTATAATTAAATCCTTCACGTGAGAGAAAACTAATGGCTGTAAATCTAATTGTTATTCAGCAGAGTTGGTTATTGAATACATTATTGCCGATTTTAATAGAAATCAGTTGATACGTGTTAAAACACTCCCTGGTGTGATTTAAAAGTAACATCAGCAAACACTTCTCACTTACAAGTTCTCCATTTATCTTTATTTAGTCTTCTCTTAAAATGGGAGGCAACTTCCACAAATTGAAGTTGTAGGTCTTGAGTGTTTGGTAAAGATGACAAATACATCTGTATTTTGTATACACTGACTTGTCGTAGTGTTATCCGTTCTGTTAAATGAGCAGCAGGGGGTGAATCTTCGTCTATAAGATAACTAAACTATCATCAAAGGAAGCCCTGTGATGGCAAATTCACAGTGTAAGTCACTTTATCGTATGACGTATCTTCCTAACTGTAATGTACTGTAAGACTTCTCCGTGTTTAGACACGTTTAATTATCCTGATTAAGACGTTTGAGTGGTTGCAGTGACCCCGTTTCAAACAGGAGGATTAAAAGGTTGGACGTGGTCATTACATCTGTGTAGATTACATCGTCTCTTCTTTGACAACTGGAAGGAGATAAATGGGGGTGCAGAGGATCGACCATTGTATTGTAAACCAGACGCTACGGCCGACAGGGGGGTGACCTCGCTCTCTATCGTGACCTCTCCTCTCTCACCTATCCCACCCGACCAACTGGTAGGGGTGATGGCACAGGTGTACTCATTTCACCCAAATGGAGCTTTTCTCTTTACCCTCTTCCACCGTCCACCTTACTGTCTTTCGACTGCAGGAACCTCGGCGTGACGTCGTCAGCCGACTCTCCCTGACTCCAACATCACTGACAACACCATCCTGTAGATACTCGCTCTACAACATCAGGAGAACACGTGCTCTTCTCACTCAGGAGGTACTGATTCAGGCTCTTGTCTTCTCCCTCCTGGACTACTGTAACTCTCTCCTGCAGGTCTCCTGCTACCACCATTCCACCTCTGCAGCTCATCCAGAATGCAGCAGCTCCACTGGTCTTTAACCTTCCTAAGTTCTCCCTCACTCCTCCACTCCTCCGCTCTCTTCACTGGTACCGGTGGCTCATCCAGTTCTAAACATGGTGCTCACGTACCAGGCTGTGAATGGATGGGGTCCAGCTTACATCCGGGACCTGGTCCAACCCGACATCCCGACCCGCACTCTCCGCTCTGCATGTGATAAACTGCTTGTTCCTCCTCACTGAGAGCAAAACACTCGACTAGATCTCCACTCTCTGCTGTCCTGCTCCTGAATGGTGGAAGGAGGTCTCTGAAGACATCAGGACCACAGAGAGCCTTCACATCTTCAGACTGAAGACACACCTCTTCAGACTCTACCTCCACTAACACACTAACTGTACCACTTACATTGGACTTATAATGGTTCTTATCTACAGCGAGTTGTACATCTGCTTATTTGATTAATGCTTTTCTGACTTTGTGTCCTTATGGTTGAATGTTCTTATTGTAAGTCGCTTTGGATAAAAGCGTTTGCTAAATGACACGTGATGTAACAAACGGTTGCCTTTAGTCGCACACATTAAACCTCGTCCACAGCTCCTTACGGGAACCTGATTGGTTTATCCCAAACTTTTCACTTAAAAACAGAATAGATAGAATTTGTGTGATCTTGTACAATCGAGACAATCGGTAACTCCAATCCTGCCCTGGAGAGAGCGGAACATTCTGAACTGTTCTTCAAATATTCATTTATAGAAGCGCTGATGTACATGAGGCCTTGTAGTCACAGTGTGGTTTTATTTTGTATGTTATCTGCGTCTTGTGTCCCTGGCTTAACTTCACGTCCTGCCCTGGTGTGTTTTCCCCCCTGTGACTATGACTGTTTCCTCCTGTGTCCAACGCGCTGCACCTTCCCCAGTGTATTTACACCATGTGTGTCCGTTGCCTCCTTGTCTGCGCTATATGTAATGTATGTTATATGTTTTCTGCTGTAATCCCCTGTCTTTTTCCACCTGTGACCCTCACCAGGCTGCACAGAAGTGTTTCCTATGCTTGTGCTCAACTTGTTTTGTTTCATTTTTAATAAAATGTTTTTGAGTGACAAGAAAAGAGATTGAGTCCTTCTGCCACCCAAACCGGTCTCTTATGCAACAATCTCTCCATTGACCCTCCCTCCATTCTCTGCTTTGGCCAATAGAAGGCTAATTACAAGTGTACTTGTTGCACCCAATGATTTGAGGCTGAAAAACTGGACTCAATCCCTTAAATACAGGTCGATATATATGTAGTAAACATGCCTGGTGGGATTTCCGACAGCGCTACTCCAGTAGTAGCATGCAGGTTTATTTCTTCATAGACAGATCAAGGCCCGATGGGAGGGGATCACGGCGCATTAAGGAGCCCCTCTTAGTATAATGTGCTCGTGGGGCAACATATGCCATTTGTAACAAAAGAAACAATGGCCGACTTACATTTCGAAAAGCTGCAGATTTTCAAAGATCTGCCAGGACAAAGTGGTCAACATGGGGTTCCTGGACAGGTTTCTGGGGGAGAGAATGAGACACAGAGGTAAGAAACAGTTCTAAATGACACAGTGAAGATAACAGCAATGCTTCAACCTGTGGGTCTTCTCATTGGGATTTCGGATTAGGAGTTTGAAGGTTTCCATTCCATTGATTTTGCCTACTAGCCAAGTAATGAAACCATTTCCAGGGACATTATATCAATGATACAAATCCCTGAACACACACAGCAATGGTTGAACAGCCACAACTCTTATGTTTCGGGTTGCGATGATGCATAGTAGAAAAACAGGTGTGTCTCCATGGAGACGTGGACAAAGCCATGGAGGTGCTCAGGCTGGTAAAAGGACGAGACACCCACTGTAATCCAGATCACCTCGTTATTAATGCCAATGAAAGTTTTAAAGCTTTCTGGATGTGTGTGTGTGTTAAACCTCAGACGTGGTGGGAGGAAACGCTGATGATGATGATTATATTCCACTATTGACTTGAGATTCAAATGACGTTACACAGACTCCAGTTTGTTCCGGTATGAAGCGGAATACACAACGACCACCACATGGTCCGCTGTGGTGCCACGCAGAGCTCCTCCTCCTGTCACAAGTGATGTTGTTCATCCACCGGCACTTTTTCAGAAGAACTCAACTCTTCTGGACCAAAGTAGATTCGTACTGAAAGCGTTCTTATACCTTTAAATTGAGTCAACTGGTTTATTGCGGACAACGACCCATTTTGAATGTATGAATCATCATACGCATCATTGTCAGATAGTCTTCTTGCTTTGTGCCACAGGCCTCAGACCTCACTTGGTTCATCTGCACTGAAAATGTCCTGTTTGAAAAACATTTTCTTTATCCCCAAACCTGTGAAATGTCACCTTCAGGTTCCCCTTTACAGTCAGATGTGCATGTGTCCAAGAAGATAAATCAATATGTACCGTATACACGGTGTGTCAATGTAACATGCAGTTTGTTTCTTCTTTCAAATTGAGCCCCAAACTCCGCCTCCATTAATAACTAATCACATGACCTGCGTGACAATCACGTGTATAATCCGTGTCCCTAACAACAAGGTGAGTGTCTAACAACTCATGAGCTATAATGACCCATTTCATTAACAAGTGACTAACTAGTCATGTGACTAGTGAGAATTATGCTGACTCAGCATGGGGCGGAGACAGGTGTCAAACAACTGACACTTGACCAGTAAGTATTGACAGGAAAAGTCAATATGAAGGTTTGTGATGCTGATTGCTGTCCTTTCCAGCTGAGAGGTTGGACAGTGGAGAGGGACAGAAATAGAAAAATACCAAGAGACGAATGGAAAAAAAACCGAGGGAGGAAGACAAACGAGGAGACGGAGGTGACACGGAGGGTGAGAATGAGAAAGAGACTCGCGGGAGAACGGGAGAAACGGTGTAGTTTCTTTCCAGAGTCACCTCCAAATGTGGTCAACGCGAGATGAGCCGATAATAAACACAAACACACATTGTCTCACAGCAATAGTCCATCGCAGGGACAAGAAGACGAATGTCCTCTAAATGAAACCTTTGATTCATCTGACTGAAACAACACCCTGCTGTCCCAGTCCCATATTGCACTCACGTGATCATAGTTTGGGTTCAGAGGTACTCGTCCCCCCCGTGTACAGGTGAGGTTACGAAGCCACAGCCTTTTCTCAGAGGTGAGTCGCCGCTAACTACCAACTGCAAGCGGAAAACTGGGGCAGGCAGGGAAACGTCAGCAGAAATGCTTTACTATCTCCTCCTTAACCCTCCTGAGAGAACCAGAACTAGGGTCGGAATTCTGTTACTTCTGCTTCCAAAACACCAAAGTGGCGCCGGCCAAACCGCTGCACGGCTTTAAAACCCGACCGATGGTCGGTGTCTCGTTGGGTAATTTCATTCCTTATGAACCTAATTTGTCAATCGGGCCGCGAGGCCGTGAGATTAGCCTCCATTCCCCCAGGAACCTCCTCTGGGACGCGATCGTCGTCCTACTTGGGACCACTGAAGGATTCCAGATGAGAGGAGCGGGGAGAGCTGCTCCGTATGTCGGGGGAAGTTGCCGGTGGCTTATTTACACAAAGTGACGCAGCGCTTCACGATGTCTTCGCTCGGCGCGTCTCCACCCTGAGACGGACGCATTGGAACACAGATCACACTCCTCACCAGCTGCCCAGCTGAGGGAGCCCATGGCGCTAATTACAAAACCAATGAAACAATGACTCACGTTGTGATGGCCTGGAGGCCCCCCGGGCTCCTTGGCCGAGTCCCTGCACATGACTTATTGAGCCCCGGAAAGGGTTTGAGACGCCGCATCATCAGTAACGTGAGTCAGTATTTATTTGTTGGAGTTTGTTGCCGATCGAGCTGAGATGACATATGCAGAGTGAGTTACCATGCAAACGCTGAGCGCCTGCATGCATATTTTTCAACTGGATTACACTCCAAATCATGAGCAAACACACACACACACACACACACACACACACAGACACACACACGAGTCCCTCTCCCGGAGGGCTGAGAGCAAACGTGTGGATATCAGCTGTGTGGAAGGAATCCTCAGCTCGTGTTTGGAGTTGTTTGGTCCCAGAGGTTTGGACCGCCATGCTCATAAATCAAGATCACATGCACATTACACAGGACGCCTACGCTGGGAATAAACACTCACACACTCACACACACACACACACGCACACACACACACACACACACACGCGTTTGTTTGTGCTGCATTCACATGGCATCAGGCAAACGGTGAACCGGATAGGGTCGGTTGTTAGAGAACACAGACGTGGTAACAGTAGGTTCCCAAAAGCTAAAACATTTAATAAAAAGAAATGTACAGCCAGATGTTAAGCAGCTGGAAAGCTCCAAAGTCAGTTTTTTCTCTTTCTTTCAAAGGCAAAGGATTAACTGTAGTTTGCAGCAATTCCCCCAAAAAGACAAACCAAAAGGTTCCTCTGTGGACAGTTTTAGACTCTTTAACGTGACGCTTCTCTCTGCTGTTGGTGTACACGCTCATAACACCACAAAGGCCTGTAGGAGACACACACACACACACACACACACACACACACACACACACCTTTTCAACATGCACAAGGTGTCCTTTGAAAAAGGTCAACCTGAATACAATAATGCTGCCTCATATTTAAAACACCCCACACACGTGTAAACACACACACACGGGTGCGTTAACACAATTTAGAACGCGCATTGAGTCACGGCTATGGGAAGGTCAGGGGCTGTGTGTGTGTGTGTGTTTAGGTGACATGTACATGCGTGCACTCTATGCTCATGTGTACTTTCACGGCACGTGAAGGTGGAAGTGGCATCACTGGATGCCAGAACTCACCCTGCCTCTCTCTCTAACGCTGTCTTCACTCCACAAAGAGTCCAATGCGGCGGCTGCTTGAAGGCGCCGTCTTTCCCGCCTCACGGTGCTTCAGTTACCACCGAGAAGCTGGGATATCAGCGCGCAGCTAACGCCGCTGGTCTTCAATCGGACTGCAAGGAGACTCATTTGCATTGAAAGGTGTAAAATTTGCGGCAGATGCCAGATTATCAAGGTTGAATGAGTGGAAGAAGTAGACTGAATACAGGAAGTAGACGTTGCCTTTGTGATTATTTGCAATCAGTCAATGGAAGTTACCATATTTGTAATTCAGAGAGACACAGAGACATCTTGTGAGCCACCTGTCAATCACTGAGGCCCGTCTCAAACATACCCAGCGTTATGGTCTATTTGACTATTGATTATTTGTCTAAATCTCACGTTGTATTGAAGAAGACAATTTCTATTCATCACAGACTTCTCCACAATCTGTTTCACATATATTGTTTGAGGTTGAACACATTCCAAAATCCTTTTTTATTCCCTTTATCTTCTGAGAGGTAAATTGTGCTCATGGACATTTCCACACGCCGGCCTTTACGCGTATTACAGCTGTAGGTACAAGTGTAGTTGTGTACTGCTGTGCTTCTTCGTTAGTTGAATAGTTGTATTATTCTTGTTGTACTCTGATTAGGAGCTTTGATCTGTCGTGTCTCTGCTCTCTGCTTTGTTCCGCAGCTCATCAGCTGGTTGTGGCCTTAATAAGACATCATCACGGAGCCCTGAAGGATATGCATGATGATGGCATGACCCTCAGCATGCTAATGTCATTTTGCATATCTGTGTGTGTGTGTGTGTTCTTGTATTATTTCATACAGATGCAGAAAAGCTTCATCATTTGTAGAAAGGGAATAATCTGAATTGATGGCATCGTGTGATGTGACCGTGATACTGTCGGGCTTTTAGGGGCCTCTGGAGAACACCAGCATACAGCACAGAGACCGCAATCATTTCAGCTACACAGACAAATACACCTAAAGTTGAAACCTCTTGTAGAAGATAGAGATTTCTTTAAAAGATATTTTGAAAGAGTCTGTGTGTTTGATTCTCTCCACGGGGGGGATCCCTGCCGCTGCTGCTCAACACAACACGCACACACCATCCACACCTCATAAAAAAGACTATAAAGAATAGTTTATTCAAACTCTAGACTGCTTTGCTTTCAAAGGATCCTGTCCGGTTCCCCCAACACATGCCAGTGACGTCTCACACGCAGGATTTAATAATCTGTTGAGACTGAATTAGCTTTCAAAACAACACACAATCACGCGGCTGTGACACACACTGAGGGAACACACTCGGTGATGATGTGGATGCACATCGATGGTTTTACCTGTTTGGTAAATAATGATACTTCTCAGATCACACCCTGATTTTAGCATTATGTTGCTCTCCAACACCATCTTTTTATCCTTTCTAGTCTTTGACCATCGACTGCAGTGTTTGTCCATAAGGTCACCATGGGGGTCAGCAAGATCACGCCCCCCTAACCAGCAACCCAAACAAGCCCACCATCTGTGAGCGGGTTATAAAACTGAGCAGGTAAATCTGTGTCTATATGAGCATTACAGGATCTGTCCCCTGTAACGGTCAAACAACAGCGTCAGATCAATAGAAAGA